ATATGCATAGACCTATGTTAGGTCAAGTGGAGGTCAACACTGAGTGGCAATAGTCTGCTTTATGTTTGAATGCAATCTTCAAAACTGAAGCATATAACAGACTGTCGCCACTCGATTTTTGTCATCAGTGTCTACTTTTATATTTGCATATGATCTATGAAACATATCGGGCTCTTTTACTCTTGATCATATCATATCTTAAAACTATCCACACAAAAAACATAAAAACACAAAATTACAAAAAAACACAAAAATATCAAAGATATATTATGATTTAAATTGTGTAATGGTCAGTTTATTGACGATTGTGTCGTCCATAAAACTCAGGATCATGCTACCGGTGATAGGTAATATATATATATATATATATATATATATATATATATATATATATATATATATATATATATATAAATGTAATTGTTAAAGGTTATTGTTCAGAATAAGACTAGGAAACAATAGTGTTAATTGCTAACAGTGTAACATATATTTACTACTGTAAACAGCAGTATTATCGTTAACAGTGAAACTTGTAACTGTAGAAATAAAAGTAGATGTCCACTAGATGGTGTTTGCGTAGCTGAAGGTGTAATTTATAAAGCAGAATTAAAAGATACAAATAGCCAGACCAAAATATACGTAGGATGTACTGAAGTCAGAGAAGAGATGGTATAATCACAAGTTATCATTCAAGCTAAAGTGACTTAGGAAATCTACCTGAATAGTCAACCATGTGTAGAAATTAAAAGAAAAAAGAAAAAATAATACGCTGAGTAGGAACTAACTTACTTATATATCTGGTTATGACAATGTAGGTGTAGTTATATATCATGCTGGCATTACAGTATTTTTTTTTTTTTAATTTTATTTGGCAATTAAAATAAGCGAGATTCTTAAATGTATGTAAAAAAGATAATCCAAAATATATATAGGAGTGGGGAATATTCATATTTGAATTTTTTAATAATTGTATAATTAAAGGGTGAGTACTTGTTCTTATTAAAAACTAAATATATTTATTTAATAGTAATATATTAAAAATAGACCATAATTCGCATTAACATGACGATTAAAAATTTAAAATTACGAATTTAAAAATTAAAAATAAAAATAATATATATATATGTGTGTGTGTGTGTGTGTGTGTATATATATATATATATATATATATATATATATATATATATATTTCTGTCTTGTTTCACATGTTTATCTCCGAAGTAAACTTTGTTTGACATAAGGCCATAAATTTAGAGCATCACGTTAGAGCCGATCTTGACACGCATAGCTCAGTCCTCAAAATGAGCTTGCTGAAAAATTGCGCACATCTACGAGGGGTTGGGCTACAAACTTTTCTGCCAGTTCCACTTTTCAGAATCAGTACTTTGATGTTTGGTTATTGAAATACTGGTTCTGGGAACTGGTTCGATGCGAGAACTTTCAGCACGTTCAGACCTTCACTTAAACAGATAGATAGATAGATAGATAGATAGATAGATAGATAGATAGATAGATAACTGCACTCTCCTGTCAGAAGAACGCCATCTCTTCATCGATTATCGCACGACAATGCATAGTTATATGACTTTTCAGCCTTGCGTGGTATTTTGCAGATGCGACTCTAGTTAAATCAGTACACGTCACCACTTTTCCGTTGCTGCAGGACATTTGAAGAGATATCTGCAAAACACATTGCAACAGCATGTGGATGTGCATGTGCAATGTACTACATGTATCTTGCCCACGAAGTATCGACAGCCAGTATCCAATGACAATCACGAGCAAGGATAGATAGATAGATATGAACAAAGAATCTGGTATATTTTTGGTCCTGATCTGACATTTCATCTTCAATTGCACACTGTCGTAATATAGTTTCAGTATGCCGTTTCTATAAATATTTTCATGGTTACTGTTCTGTTGAATTTTCCTCTATGGTACCTCCATGATATAAATTTAAGATTATATGAATTTAAATATTAGATTACTATGTCTCGCCATTTAACAGTTAAAATGGCAACATGTAAGTTCTATGCTAAAAGTTACATAATTCGCAATTCCTGATTGTCGGACATTCTCCTGACTCCTTGCTTCTCAGTCAACTTTTGTCTTCAAAAATTTAAATGCAATGTCAATCGATATTTTCTGTCTTCTTAATGTCTGTTATTTTATTGTTCTCTCCTGAATAATTTCCTTTCACACTCAGTGAGTCCTTGAGTCTTAGTGACTTTATTGTCTTGCTTGGGGTAAAGTGATAAAAACAATATTTAAATATTACACAGATAGAAACAGAAAAAGTACACTTGGGACAGATACGGTGGAAAGCTGAAAATTTATCGAGCCATCCAAGAGAATCCCAAAAATTAAAGTCCAAGTTTGGTTATGATAAGATTTTGGGAATCGAGACGAAGATAAATTTTTAGGGCATAGTCATCTATTAAATGTCCTAACTAAACACAGACACGTGTTCCTATATGTGTGTGAGTTGTATGTGTGACGGTGTGCGTAATAAGTTAGATATGCCAAAGTTAAAAATATCAATAATCAGAAGAAATTACAATCCAACGGCGTTGCTGTCTGCTCTGCACCGCCTCGTCATTTGTGATGGCGTCCATGAGTCTAAGTTTACTTTTACGCCAACTCATTTGACCTTAAATGCATTTATATCTGGCCAGACTTGTCACTGTTATTATTATTATTATTATTATTTAGAAGTCCGGAGAGAGGGAAAGATTATGTTTTAATGTAGACAAAGCAATCAGAAGTGATGTATATATCTTACGTTTTTTTCTATATATGTATTGCCCATCCCCACGATTTTTTATAAATGCAAAGTATTATTAAACTTTTCGTTGTTCATTTATTGTATTACGCAGCTCAGCCCATTTTTACCATTCATGCCAACATATATAAACATTCATAATAATCTGTCTATCTATCTATCTATCTATCTATCTATATATATATATATATATATATATATATATTAAATTACAATAAACGTGCAATCAATTTACAAATACATGAATTATTACACAAAACTAATGCAAGGTTAATGATTTTAAATGGCGAGACATCCATCTCGCAAACAATTCAAATATTACACAAAAACCTCAGATCCGTTATGAATGAATTGATCCTTGTTCATATAAATTTCTGCCGTATTAGTTGTTATTTTACAAGCTTTCGTCTGTTCCTACAGACATCTTCAGGTATATATAATAGATGTTGTTCTTGTTTTTTCTCTTAGTAATAAGAGGACATCGAAAATATATGTGTATTGTATCCGAAATGCTATTGAAAATGAGATATTGGTTTTTGAACGCGCCAAAGCAACGCTAAGTTTGATTTTGAATTTTTTCTTTATTTTTTTTTTTTTAAATGTTTGCGTTTATACCAAATATGGTAATGAACAAATTATTTTACTGGTAAATTTTACTGTCAAAGTCGCATGAACTATATTGTTCAATAATTACTGTAATGTCGCACTTATTAACCAAAAGTCGCACATGGATCAGATATTTAAATTACAATAAACGTGCAATCAATTTACAAATACATGAATTATTCACACAAAACTAATGCAAAGGTTAATGATTTTAAATGGCGAGACATCCATCTCGCAAACAATTCAAATATTACACAAATACCTCAGATCCGTTATGAATGAATTGATCCTTGTTCATATAAATTATTTATTGTTCATATAAATTATTATTGTTCATATAAATATATATTATTGAACAATATAGTTCATGCCACTTTGACAGTAAAATTTACCAGTAAAATAATTTGTTCATTACCATATTTGGTATAAACGCAAACATTTTAAAAAAGAAAAATTCAAAATCAAACTTAGCGTTGCTTTTGGCGCGTTCAAAAACCAATATCTCATTTTCAATAGCATTTCGGATACAATACACATATATTTTCGATGTCCTCTTATTACTAAGAGAAAAAACAAGAACAACATCTATTATATACCTGAAGATGTCTGTAGGAACAGACGAAAGCTTGTGTAAAATAACAACTAATACGGCAGAAATTTATATGAACAAGGATCAATTCATTCATAACGGATCTGAGGTTTTTGTGTAATATTTGAATTTTTTTGAGATGGATGTCTCGCCATTTAAAATCATTAACCTTTGCATTAGTTTTTGTGAATAATTCATGTATATATATATATATATATATATATATATATATATATATATATATATATATATATATTTTTTTTTTTACAATTGGAATTAAGATACTTTTACAAATGACATTTTTCACCTATAGAATTTTAAAGTTAAAATACGCAAGTGAAAAATGGTCATTAACTAAAAAAGGTATCTTAATTCCAACTGTAAAGAAAATTTTGCTCTGTTTAATGAAAATAAATATTGAGCACGCTTTTTTGAATCAGTTTTAACATATTTCAAATTCTACGCTGTGTTAACAGGACTCACTTGGATTACACCAACCGATTACTATTATATATATATATATATATATATATATATATATATATATATATATATATAAAAATATATATATGTGTATGTATGTATATATATTGATTTCCTGAAACATAATTCGATTAAATTTTGTTAAAAAATATGAAGAAGGCTTGAGGTGAGGTATTTTTTTTAAATATCACCTCCATCATGAAATTTCTAAAGTCGCCTATATATATATAGTAGTGTGACATTTATTGTGACTTTCTGGAGATGGAGGAAACGTCTTGGATTCTTCTAGAAATTTGTGGAACATTCTGAACATATTTGGCTATTTGTAAGTTTGTATATTATGCGATCGCTATAAACTCTGTTAAATGCGTAAAAAAATACATAAGTACTATCCAATTAATCATTAGATAATTGAAAAATAAAGCTTCTGATATATTTTGATTTTTCATCCTTATTGTTTACATTGTAAAATCCATTTTGGGGTGACCTTTTTCAAGAACTAAAACAAACTAATGTCTTCTCCTTACTTTTGAACAGGCATACATCGAGATATGACGCAGGAACACTGAATTATACAAAAGTCATAGTCCTAATACACACACACACACACACACACACACACACACACACATATATATATATATATTTAAAAGAAAAACAGACCACTTTAAGGTACCATTATAATAATTTATTTCACCAGAGCCCTTTTAAAGGACCCCGGATCATCAGATAGCACTTCAAAAAAATGAAATGAAACGAAAAATGAAATTAAAATTGATGGGTAGTGTAAGTTCTGGATTTACATTGAGCTCTCAGGATTTTATCCTCCTTGGGATTACCCATATGAATTACCAAGTCCTTCATAATGGAATTAATATATATATATATATATATATATATATATATATATATATATATATATATATATATATATCCCTCATTGCTAGCAAGATTCTGAGTTTCATGCAAGACGCAGTCTTCAGGTACTGAATATGAACTGACCCTTACAAAATTTATATTATAATATACCTGGTCTCAATATTGGCGTATTTATTTATTATGCTGGAGTTACGTTCCTTTTAAATTATATTTGGAAGTTAAAATAAGTCATATATATATATATATATATATATATATATATATATATATATATATATATATATATATATATATATATATATAAAAAAAAGAAAATTTAAAACTTGTTTTGAGTGGCGAATATTCATATTTTATTTTTTTTTAATTTAAAAAAAAATTGATTCAAGGGAGATTACTTGTTCGTATGTAAAGAAAAGAATAAATTTATAAGTGGTATTTATATATATATGTAAAAAAGAGAAAATTAAAAACTAGTTTTTGAGTGGTGAATCTTCATATTTTAAACTTTTTTTTTTTAATTTAAAAAAATATTCAAGGGAGATTACTTGCTCTTATTTAAACAAATGCATAAATTTATATTCAAAATAAATAAATAGTAATTTACACTAAAAATAAGCCGTAATTTGCATTAAAACATTAATCTGGATCAACGTATTTAAGCAGATATTTATTTTCTGTCTCCATCACAATCAGTTCTTTCCTTTTGTTTAATAAGCTAGGGTTATTTAAGTGTTTTAAGATAACCAGTTTTTCAATTAAACAAATTGCATTTATTTCCTTTACCGTTATAAGCCGTAGCTCTAGATATAATTTCCCAGTTGATTGATGGTGAAATGCCTTCATTCTTTAACTGCAAAAAAGTATTTGTAGTGATCATTGTTGTATTTGGACTTAATTACTTAAGGCCATTCGATGATAATAAAAAAGAAATTACCAAGGATTTTCCGCGGAACGAAAAAATATTAACAACATTACCTGAATGTAAGCTCGCTCGATATACCATATTATCGATCTTTCATTGACCGGTGAAGGGACATTTAATTTTTTGCGGAAGTTGCATTTATTTTTAGAAGAATTTACGTTGTCTTTGTTGGAAATATGTTTGCTTAATGTTGTTATGATATAACTTGGATGCATCTATGTTATTTACGCATCTATAGCTGATTATTATTTCTGGAGAAGCTTTAATAAAAGTGAAACATGTTAGATTCAGAAACGTTTCTTATTTTTTTCTTTATCTTATCTTATATATATATATATATATATATATATATATATATATATATATATATATATATATACACAGAAACATATATATGCGTTTTTTTTCTGTGCGTCTGTCTGATTTTTTTATATATTTATAATAACACGCACATACATGAATATATATATATATATATATATATATATATATATATATATATATATATATAAGCATTACGCCATGAGCAAGGCGTGAAGCCACTAGGATGCAGGGGGTTGTAGAAGATTTGGAGCGAGAGCAAATAGGGTGATAGAAGAAAGGATGAGGAGAGGGATAGTGGGTAGATCAGGGTAACTGGAGGTGTCGATTGACATTACATTTGAATAGTTGGAGATTATAGCTCTCAGGGAAACAGTAATTGGGAAGGGTGCTCCACAGCCGAGAGGTGCGAGGTATGAAGCTATATATATATATATATATATATATATATATATATATATATATATATATATGGTTTATGCAAAACTAGGTAATCCGTATGGGTAGAACCAAGGAGGATGATATCCAGAGAGCTCAATGTAAATTCAGAGCAAATAAATTTGAATAAAAACAGACCACTTTAAGGTTCCATGCCATAAATTATTTCACCACAGCCCTTTTAAAGGGCTCTGGAGCATCAGACTTTACTTCCAAAGGTTGAAATGAAAAATGAAAAGCCTTTTTTTTATTATTATTATATATATATATATATATATATATATATATATATATATATATATATATATAATATATATATATATATATAATAAAAAAGTCTTAAACACTAATAACTAACTCTCACACTTTGGGTTAAAAGAAACAAGTCACAGTGGATAAAGGCGTTAGTTAGATCCAGTGACAGGACCCAAAGAGTAAGAGTTCAATACCTGGTTAAGACGGTGGAGAACTTGGAGGGGGGAATTAAGCAGGGGAACTGATAACTGACATCCATTAGACATGGCACGTGGAACTAGAACAGTCTACCCCAGTGAGCGAAATAAAGAGTTCAGTTCGACATCCCAACTACCTGAAGAAAGCTGGAGCGTACAACGGCCGAAATGTTGTAATAAATATGGCAACAAAGAGGAGGACAATAGTCTGAATAATGTAAATAGTGTACATAATACCTCATCTCAGATAGATAGATAGATAGAGATAGATAGATAGATAGATAGACAAACAAAGTTTTACCTTAGAGATATAGAATGATAGTCGTTGTTAAGTCATTTAAGAAAATAAACTCTGATAAAAAAAGTCAAAACTTCTATTTCGGTTGTATACAATGATGAAGACTACTTCTTTTTGGATAAATGTTATTGTTGTAAAGATTATAGAACTAACTCTATGCAAGTCTTTTTTTCTTCTCAATACAAAAATTTCAACCAGAGTTTCTAGTTAAGAGTATTATCGTCTGACTAGACAGTCCAGAAAAGGCACGAAAACTTCATAAAAAATCAATATGGTATATAGTGTGGATCCTTTAAGACCACACTTTAGATTCGATATTTGCTCACAGGCCTAAGTTAAAACCAGAAAGCATTCAAACGGGTATATTTATGTCAGACAAACGCATCTACTTGAATTACTACGAAAACCTGATTTTTTTAAGGAAAAAATTATACTGGGAGCGAAAATGAATGAGTATACAAAATTAAAAGTGGTTTAAGTCAAGGATGTGTCTTTTCGGCGGTTTTAATCAACATTTACAATGAGGCAATCCTACGAGAACTAGAAGTCCTATCAGGATTTAATATCACTGGCGACAATCTTAATAACATACAAATAATACCGTGTTGATGGCTGTCACAGAAATGAAACCGCAGGAACTCCTACATAAGGTAATAAAAGAAACCAAAAATAAAGGATACTATTTACATTATTCGGACTATTGTCATCATCTTTGTTGCCATATTTATTACAACGTTTCGGCCGTTGTACGCACCGGCCTTCTTCAGGTGGTTGGAATGTCGAACTGGACCCTATATTTCGCTCACTGGGGTAGACTATTCTAGTTCCAAGTGCCATGTTTTTAATGGATGTCAGTTATCAGTTATCCCCTGTCAATTCCCCGCTCCAAGTTATCCACTGCCTTAACCGGGTATTGAACTCACACTCTTTGGGTCCTGTCACTGGATGTAACTAACGCCTTTATCCACTATGCCACGTGAAACTAGAACAGTCTACACGAGTGAGCGAAATAAAGGGTTCAGTTCGACAATCCAACCACCTGAAGAAGGCCGGAGCGTACAACAGCCGAAACGTTGTAATAAATATGGCAGCAAAGATGAGGATAATAGTCCAAACAATGTAAATATTGTACATAATACCCCATCTCAAAAATATAGACAGATACAAAAAGAAAAGACTAACCATCAACTTTAAGAAAAACGAATCTATAGTCTTCAGCAAGAGAAAAATTTCAAGATATCTGCGAATTGGATATGTCAAAATCTCAAAAACTCCAGAAATTTAACTATCTGGGCAATGCTTTAACAGAAGATATAAATTGTGAAAATCCGAAGGCGCAATGGAATGGCAAAATGTGTTTTCCTAAAACTAAGCAAAGTATTAAGAAAAGCGAAAATTTCGTTAGAAACAAAGAATGCTGAACGGATATGTAATATCAGTCGTCAATAGCGGTGAATGCTGCAAAATGATGAAAAGGCGATATGAGACAACAAGAATGTGATACTAGAGACGGATCCTGTGACTATCATGGACAGAGCATGTAACGAACGAGGAAGTTTTAAAGGAAATAGAAACAAAAAGAGTAAAAAGTGAGAGTTGAAGAAGGAAAGAAGGATTAGAAATTTTGACCCAATCAGGACAAACTGAAAGCAAAAGTGGGAAAAATCGAATAAACAACTCGACGAGCTCCAATAATGAATAACAGAACAGGAAAGTTGAAGGTATAGGAAGGAGTCAAAGATTGCTTAGATCTATGAAGGACAAGAGTTGTCTACAGCTACGACCACCAACCTTCACTATGAACATTCAGTCAGTTATGTGTCATGCGTGATACACGATTAGGAGATCATGTATCTTTCGATACATGACTGACGAGTCAGATTTTTTCTCGCAGTAGTTTGCCATTTTTTTTCTGCGGTAGACCAGTTGCCATCCAGGGCTATAGAACCCGGTCTGTCCTGTAATTTACCCATAGAAGGGGGAGAAGAAAATGTTTCATACCTTTTGCAAGGGTAATAGCGCGCAAGTGAATGTAATTGTTATATCCATATCTACTGGACGATAATGAGTATGTCCTCATTTCCATAAATACAGTAGTGAATACTGTATGTTGGTCTGCAGTTGGAGATTCGCCTCCAGCTGTGCTGGTCAAATTCTCTGCCTCCGGACACAGAGGATCCCCAGATGAGTCAATGTCGAAGGGCTGAGTCTCGTCTCGGGAAACCCGACCCGACCCCGTTTTATACGGGGAATTTTTGGCCGAGCTACGAGCTCGGATACCCCACATTAAATTCGGCCTTGTGCCACATCTGATTGCGTGGGGCGGTTGATAGATATCCTGCAGCTGGAGATTCAATGTGGAATTCATTTGACTCACTTCTAGCAGTTGACTACTTCTACGCGCCGCTGGCGAATCTTATATGTGTTGTTCTTGTCCTAAGTATTATCGTTCATTATCAACCTTCGATTGATTATTCTTTTCGGTAACCTTACAACAGTAATGGATTTGACTGAAATTCGAACTGGGCTCTCTGATTCCTCAATCCAAGCCGCTATCCATTACTCCACGGTGACTCTTATGGAAACTACATATAGAAAAAGAAGAAATTATCTTTATGTAACTGCTATTATAAATACCTACTGTTGAAATCAAAAATTTAGAGCATTTGTAATATCTGAGAGGAAGACATATTCTCTCTCTTCAGTTTCCTATCTAGGGGTCACCTACTTACCAATGTTGTGTTAATTTAAATGCTAAATTCTGGGCTTGAATTTACACCTCTCAGTTTTTTTATTCTTTTTTACAGGTACGTTCACACTATACTAGACCCAAGAACCATTCTAGGTAGACAGTTCCATTAAGAGACCGTTTATAGAGAGAGGAGCGGAACAGGTTAAGATTATAGTGATCAGGGAAACATCTCCATGCGAGTCAACTTCACAAAGCAGTGATTCGCGGAAAAATCTTTTTGAGTGGAACTTACTTGTCGTCGATGATATACGGAGGGAATGTGTCTGGTTCTTTGCGACGTAGGCGGCATGACGGCTCCTAGCCGTGAAGATTAGACCTGACGGAACCAAGGAATTTAGTTCGTCCGACCAATTTCTACATGAAACTAGCGATAGATCAGTGAGAGAGTCGCTACATCCCGCCCGTGAGATAGAGAGGTTGGAGGCTGGATAATAACTATTAACTCCAACAAGGACTCGGAGACGCTTTTGAGACGCATCAAGACAGGAAAGTGAGTACTTGACAGCTCCTGCATAAATAATGGCAAGAGTACTCCATTTTGCGACCTGATCCTTTTCTTATAAATTTAGAGAATAGTATGAGGAGTCAGGTATTTACTGGAGCCGTACAGTGTTACGAACATTTTACCCACTTCTTAAGAGATGGATCGTTTGAAAAAAAAAAGTAATGCCACTGATTTTTCTATCACACTTTGGTACAGCCAAAACTGGAAAGAGTATTTTTAGAAAATGGGTAATGTTTCTCAGAGAACTTGCGTGTCTGAGAAAAGTATCCGAACGATTTCTAAGGTAGCGCTTGATAAGGGAATGTCTTTGAAAGCACCCAGATTTCGAAGGAATATTTCGATACATATCAGAACATCATAGCATCTTGCAAGGTAGGCAACACGAAAGTATTGGTAATTCGTAAGAAAAGACTATATTTGATGATGATGATGATGATGATGATGATGATGATGATGAAGAAGATGAAGAACAACAAGAACAACAACAAAACAAAAACTAAGCGAAGAAGACAGAATGAAAGATGAACGAAAGTAAATGGAATTGGAATATAAGATAGCTATATATTCTATATTATTGCTAGATAGATAGATAGATAGATAGATAGATAGATAGATAGATAGATAGATAGATAGATAGAAATAAAGAAAGAAGAAGAAGAAGAAAATGGGGATATAAAATGAAACAATAAAGAATTTAAATAGATCAAGGTATTAGAGAATGAAAAGTTACAAGATGTTGCGAGTGAAAGATAAGAGAGAAAGGGGAGTAAAGAAGGGAAATAGCAATGAAGAAGAAGAAAAAGAAGAAGAAGAAGAAGGAGAAGAAGAAGAAGAACTTGTGATCATTCGGGCAGAAGTAGTAGTTGTAGTAGTAATAGCAGCAGCAGAAACAACACTAGTATTAACAATAAAAAAAATAATAGTAAAAAAATTGTAGGAGAAAAAAATGGAAAAAGACTTTTGCAGATCTGTTTTAGAAGTATCATTCGTCTGATAGTCGCTTCAGGCGCGGTATTAAATGGCGAAAAGTTAACCCTTCAACCATCTTAAGTAAAAAAGGTGTTGAAGAGGAAGTCTTCAAGAAAATTTCCAATAAGTTCGCCAAGGAAGCGTAGATCTTTTCTTTAGACAAGTTGCATCCTCTGCAGATTATTGATAGTTGGCAAGATTTGGCAGCAGTGGGGCGAGAAGCACTTTTTCTTATAATGGCCAGCTTATTTGAATATTGGTCTGATTTCTGCGTAACGGCGCGGAAAAACAATTCCTATATTGCCCCCACCTTTCTTTGCATTCCTTTCTTTTATTTGTTTTTTTTTATCGCTTTCTTTCTCTGTTTCTTTTTTATTCTTTCTCTCTTTTTTTTTATTTTATTCCTCTCTTTATTTGCCTTGTATTTTATAGCTGTCTTTTCTTCATCGCTCTTAGTTTCTTTCTTTCTTTCTTTTTTTTTCTTTACTTCTTCCTGCTCGTCCTTATTCTTTCTTTCTATTTTCTTTCTTTCTTCGTGCCCTGTTCTATTACCCTTTCTTTCTTAATTTGTTTATTCGGCTTTGAAATACTTCATTTATTTCTTTATTTTGATCTATTACTCTTTCTTTCTGTCTGATTCGTTTTAATAGTCTTTCTTTCTTTTTTTTCTGTGTACACTATTTTGTCCCTCTTTCTTTCTTTCTTTCTTTCTTTCTTTCTTTCTTCTTATTCTGTTCTATTCCTCTTTCTTTCTTTCTTCCTTTCTTTTTTTATTTATTTCTGTTCTCTACATATATTGCTTTTTTACTCTATCTTCTCTTTCATTCTCAAAAGGATATCGATCAAGGACTTGTGAATCGTTACACTTGCCCACCTTGGGTATCGTTATTTAGAAGCAATGAAGTCGATGGAACAGAGCAACCTCTTCCCTCCCGCCACCGTTCCCCTGTCTCTTCTTTTCTTTCAAGAAGTTGTTTCGCACACAACTGGTTACTTTTACAGCGCATGCGCGCACATATACAACGCCGTTATTAACAAAGGCAAAAACACTTAAATGGCGGTAAAACCGATTACTTGAATTCGAGCCAAAGAGCGCGTAAATGGTCTTAGACAGCCGCAATTCTTCTATCGTCGTAACATATTCAAAATAGCATTAATATCTACTATTTTCTATTATTTCCAGAAAAAAAATATGGTGATACATGTAGTTATCTAACCCATTACAGTTTTATAATTGCAACGTCAAAAGTTGTTTCCTGGCTTTGTAGGGTAGATATGTTTAATATTTAGGTTAACGAAAAATATTCTATTATACATGAGTCTGCTACCAGAATTTGCAACCCATATTTTAGTTTACAACAATATTAAAAATCGAAAAAAAAATGGAACTGTTTTTCTGAATAATCAAGAGTGCTCTCCCCTTGTTTTGTTACTGTCCACTTTGAGAGAGCTATCTCTGTTTAGTGGGACTATAAAAGGACACTATGCGCGAACGTTGTATTCTCAGTTGAATAAAGTTTTTTTAAAACCTACACCTGCGTTCTTTTGTCATTACAGCTCCATATATGGTAAATAACAATTCTAAATTTTTATATATGAACAATCAAATAAAAGACGTACAAAAATATATAAAATGCTTTGAAAGAAATGTTGTTTGCAGTTAACAGTTTCAATTTTAGATTTACGTCAATTCTGAAAAAAATGTATCACAAAGTGGAAAAAAATTTCTTTTGACAGGTTTCGTCCTTTACGACTTCATCGAACTAAATTTATATTGATGCAACTACACCTAGGCATGAATGAGGGATGCTGGGATTTTTTTTTCTTTTTTATCTAGCCGATTTCATTTAGATTATTTTTTCTTTTTCTTTCCATCAGTTTGTTAGTAGATATGCAATACTGTGATAATAGGCGTCCTGCCAGTAATGGTGAAATGTTGTAAGTGATCGGGCGCAAATCTATGACCAAAGCACTCTCTAGACATTTTCGTCATCGACCAGAGTAGCTATTTTACGTCAAAATGTTATTCAATCTCGTTACGATAGGCAACCAAATAATTTGATGTATTGTTTTGTAAAATGTCTCTTTTGTGTTCATATAATCTTTTATTTAGATTAGTTTCTCCTACGGCTGTTTCACCTATGTATTTTTTGTGACAATTATGACGGGCGATCGAGTAAATTCCTCCTTCAAATTTTAGCTTATTGTTTTCATTTTTAGTTGTAGCAGTAACACATTTTTATGTTGAGATTTGATAGATTCTTTCCAACTGAAAATGTGATAGAGTTAGTAACTAGGACAACATATTTTTTTGATTCATTGGGTTTGTCATGAGGGGCCGTTTTTCTATTTTGGAATATTTTATAAGCCTTTTGTTTCCCACTGAATATAAAATAATTAGTGTACTGATGATGCTTGTAAGTGTTTTCAATGTATTTCTCGTTTTCATGTAAATATTGAGGGCTGCACATTCTCTGTGCTCTTAAGTAGAATCCGATGATTATACCGGATTTTATTTTGTTGTTATAATGGAGGGCGAAATGTGTCACAAGGAAACTTTTCCACTTTGTCATACATTTTCTCCCAATATTGTTCTTGATATATAACAATATAAATATTTATATCAATTAAAAAAGTTGTTTCGTAAAATAGATCGTTTTGTTGCACTGGTACACATTGTCAGTAATTTTGAAAGCCGTAGATCTTTACGGGTTTCGGGCTTCGCACTATCATAACCCTTTCTCTCAGCCACTCAATCGATACTGATCATATACTGATGTATGGGAAAAAGAGAAAATATTGGACTATGATGTTGCAAGACCTGAAACCCCTAATGACATACGGATTGCAGCATCACTGACGATGGTTACCAGTGCATCGAAACCATGTATTTTACGAAACAGAACCCTTTTAATTGAATTAAAGATAAAATTGAAGCTGTTAACTGTGAATAACATTTCTTTCAAAGGATTTTATATATTTTTGTAGATTTTTTATTTGATTCTTGACATATAAATGTTTAGCGCTGTTATTTACGGTATATAAAACTTTTTTTCTAAGCAGTCTCATTGATTTCTCTCTCCAACAACTCACTCATCTCTCTCTCTCTCTCTCTCTCTCTCTCTCTCTCTCTCTCTATCTATCTATCTATCTATCTATCTATCTCTGTTTATGTGCCTTATCCCCCTCATGGAAGATTACTACTAATCTCTTTTGCACTAATCGAACTAATGATTTTTGAACAGAGAAGTGAGTTTAAAACAAGATTCACATATAACCCGACGCAATACATTTACCTTTTTTTATAGATATTCTTATGACGTCTAAATATTTTTTCTTTATTGATAACTATATAATTAGTAACTAAATTAATGTAATCTAACAGGCTCTGTGCATCGATCTGTGCATCCACTTAATGGGGCAAAAATATAAACACAGCATTCACATATCACAACCATCTTTCAAGAGAGTAGAACTTCAATCATGATCTTTCAGACATTCCATATGACCGTCAGAGAACAACAGAACTCTTCTTCATCTCTCTCTCTCTCTCTCTCTCTATATATATATATATATATATATATATATATATATATATATATATATATATATATATATATATGTATGTATGTATGAATCGAATTTACCTAAAAAAGGCAGTAAAACCACTAAGAAATAATTAGACAAACAGAAACTTTACTAAAGAGCGAATACGATAGGGAAATCTGTAGATAATGTTGGACGTTACATTTAAATTTTGGAAAATCAAAGTTAACTCGAAAGTATGGAGCTAGAAAGGAGTTCCACAAGCGAGAGGTGCAAGAGAAGAAACTGTTAATATAGAACTTACGTTTACGTCTAGCCAGTTCAACTGTAAATTGATGAGAACCTTTACCAATTTTGTACTGCTATTAAATTCATGTAAGCCTAGGTACCATAGCGAAGAGATTAGACGAAAGAATTACCATAAAAGAATTCATAGGAAAGGCAAAGGGAAACAACTTGACAACGGTATGAAAGAGACTGATGCCAAGACGCCGGATCAGGACCAATAACATTGATGATTGAGGATTTTATCTAGAATCTCTAAATATATAGTAAGAGCACCAGACCATATGTGGCGACAATATTCTAAGCATGGACGAATGGTAGATTTAAAGATATGTAAGATATATTCTGGGGAGAAAAATTGCTTCACCCGACACAGTGAACTGTCTTAGCAGCTGACCTAGTAAGGCATTCAATATAATCTATTCACTTCATGTTAGCCGAGAACGTCAATCCAAGAAGAGGCAACAAGTCAATGTGCGTGTTGGCGTGTGTCTGCGGCATATCAACTTCTTATGGATCATTTAATGCCGAATTTCTTACTGGTAATTTTTTTAAAACGTAATTTTTTAACTATGAAAATGTTTTGCTGATATTTTACTATAAAAATGTATTTTTATACTTTCATAGTATTTTGACCACATGTTGGGGGTTAACTATATGACCATAGCTGGGACCTTAACAGGTGATGCCACCCCGAGTCAGGGTGGGCCTGGGGACAAAAGCTTCTCAAAACCTCCCTATGAGAGACCTTTCCGCCGGATGTAGTTTATCGTCATACCCAGGATGAGCACGCGCTTGTGTGTATGTTAACGCTGTTGAGGATAGGTCCCCAATTTCAATGTACTCAGTGCTAGAGGTCCAACTATAACTGGAATTATCAATGTCCTCATGTGCCACTTTTTTTTTTATACATTTCCTTGTATTTTGTTAGTTTTTGAAGATCTTTATCTGCAAGTCTGCAAGAATTGCCATGTCAATAAGAAAGGGCATTTTTTTTTTGTTTTTCTTTTTGATCACGATGTCTGGGGGTTTTGCTTTGATTGTTGTATGTTAAAGCTGTTGAGGATAGGGTCCTAATCTGAACGCACTATCTTTTACTACTTTGATTTCCTTAGAAAGTCTATTTTTACAGGGTGGAGTTCTTAGACCCCACGCTCGAACTGTTTTGAATTTGGAGTTATTATTTTTCAGGTCGCTAGGTCTGCCTTGCCTGCCTTCTCTCTACACCAGATAGGGTGTAGAGAGAAGAGCGGAAGTCATAACTCTCTAAAATATGTTTGTGTGAAAGTGAATGCAATAGTCACGTTAGCAACTTAAATTCGACATGCCAATCCCACTTCTGCTAGTCAGTATATCTTGATGGTACTTAAAAAAAAAGATTAACCACATCGAAACTCGTTCTTAGTATGACCGTCACTCAAATCAGGTTTAGCCATTTTTTCTTTCTCAAAGTTTTATAATTATTGAATTCTTTATCGGTTTGAATACAGTTTCCAAATTGTATTAGTTTTTATAAGCTTCCTTTCTTTTCATTTTATTTTTTTTTTTACTTCATTTCCGTTTTATTTATTTATTTATTTATCACTGGTCAAAATCCTGACGAATAAAAGCGTAGAGACATTACTTCCTTTAATTCCAATATCTGTCAAAGCACAACTCCCTTCAGTCTCATCAACTCCTTTTGTTCATCTTGTTAGCTACATTCTCTATCACGCGACTTTATATCTCGAGTGTTTTAGCCATTCTAAATTCCCAAAGTTATCGTAAAAGCGGGAAGCGTTAATACCAAGTGTAAGATTTCATATCAGTATTGCAATAACTTGATCTATTATCTGCAGAATAATATATTATCTATTCACTTGTGCTGAATAATAACCATTTTCTGTCCAAAATCCAATCTTAAATCAAACGATAAATTGGGACTTCAAATCTCGATATTCAACGACCGAACTCTATCTGTATAGCACGCAGATTTAGTTTTCAGCATATTAATTAGTATGTTAAAATAATAATAATAATAATAATAATAATAATAAGAAGAAGAAGAAGAAGAAGAAGATGATGATGATGATGATGAAGAAGAAGAAGAATGTGCTTTTTATGTCAGTTCTTGTGGATTGTAATATAATGTTAAAAATCTTGCAAAAAACCTATGAAAATTCCAGGGACTGAAATCGACAGCTAAAACATGTGTGTCACATAAAGACATCGATAATTACAGTTGTAGTTGGAGCCCTCGGGTTGGTTAGTAAACGTTCCGATAGGCTCATTAAAGGGATTCATGCTAGCCTAAATCTTAAAGAAATACAAAAAATTGTACTCACAAGAACAACTGGCACATTACGAAGACATTTATCTTTGTAAAATGTGCGTGATCTTAAGTTTTTCTTTTGTTTTTTACAAAAATGATCAGTGAAAATGTCATGAAGTGATATCTGATCCTAGGTCTCTGGCTGGGACCCGTAAGGAAATATGTATACAACAGAAATCAAAGGAAATAATAATAATAATAATAATAATAATAATAATAAGAAGAAGAAGAAGAAGAAGAAGAAGAAGAAGAAAAAGAAGAAATGAGAGACTATCGTTGACAGGTATTTCGAGGGTTGTTCTTTTTTAAGTTTGAAGGATGACGCATCCCACATTACTTTAAAATTGCAACTGGATACTTGGGGACACTCTCAATCGGAGACTGTTAGAATGGACTAGATTACTTGACCTGACGGTACTTCTAATTGGGCCCCAAATTGGGCTGCAAAGTTAGGAGCTGCTTTTATCAGAATCTGTCCCAAAATCACACACATTGAATACATTTGGCTGTGATGTATGTTCCCGGTATACCCTTATCAGACTGGGAATCATGATGGATATAACTTTGTATTCGTACAGCTATCGCACTGAATAATAATAATAATAATAATAATAATAATAATAATAATGATAATAATAATAATAATAATAATAATAGTGTTGTTCGACAACATGAGTCAAGTTAATTCCATCACAAATTCAAAGTGAAACATCACGATTTCTACAGAGCGTAGCAATTGTACTTACTGCCTTTTAATATACGATGACAAATGTACCATACATGACTTGATTTATGTGGATTGAACAACGGAAAAATTAAATAAAAGATCCAATGGCCACAGATATGATGTCAGACACAAAAACGTGACATCAAGGGAATGTGAAGAACATTTTATTACAAACGACTGTAATTTTGACAAGCCTCATTTTTTTTTTCATTTTTAAAAACATTCAGAATCTACTGAGCTTTCGTCTTTTAAAACACATAAAGATGGTCACGTATGAATACTTCTGAGGTATGCATTACGGATACTAACTTTCGGTTTGGGGAAATGACAGGAAAGTTCCATAAGCTGTTTTCTCTTAGTAACTAGTCAACTAACGGAAAATTCCAAGATGGCAGAGATTCATTCGTTTTGACGCGTCCATTACCAGGATAGTCGTTATTTCATTACAAGACAAGCAAAGTTTGTACAAAGACTTCTAAGATTTTGCATATTTATATATTTTTATACTTGAAAAAAATCTGTTGAAATATTGTTTTACATTATCTTTCTTTTTTTTAAATCTCGCTCTTCTCTTAATAATAATAATAATAATAATAATAATAATAATAATAATAATAATCCTTTGCTAACTAGGAATTATCAAACACATATACTGAAATATTGTGTCAGTCCAAAATGCAGATTCTGTGATAAATATCCAGAAACGATTGATCATCTTGTATCAGGTTGCACGATATTGGCACCCAATGAATATAAAACCCGGCATGACAGAGTGGGCTAATATCTGCACAGGAAAATCTGCAACTTCTACGGGAAGGAAACTGAAAGAAATTAGTATGAACACCACCCAGACCCGGTTATGGAGATAGGGCCTGCTACAATTCTATGGGACTACACAATACACACTGACAGAACAATCAAAGCCAACCGCCAAGATATTGTTATTAAAGGCCACAAACAAAAATGGTGCCTCCTTGTTGATATGGCAGTCCCTGCTGACTGCAATGTATCTTTGAAGATATTCAAAAAGCTATCAAAATACAAGGACCTTGAAATAGAAATCTCGAAAAGGTGGCATATGGGAACATCAACAATCCCTGTTATAGTTGGAACCCTAGGACTGGTTGGAAAAGATTGCAGTAGACTAATTGAAGGGATTCCTGGAAGTCCATGCTTCAAGGAGATATAAAAAATTGTTCTGACAAGTACAGCCCACACCTTACGAAGGGCTTTATCTATGTAATTTAATTTTTTTTTTTGTCAGTGGAAAGTATCATGATGCCATTTCTAACCTTAGGTCCGTGGGCGGGACCCGGAAAGAAATGTGTAAACGCCAGAAATCAAAGAAAAACTAATAATAATAATAATAATT